GGGAATTAATGACACTACAACCTTTGTGGCCCCGGGGGCCAAGGACAGTGTGGAGATGGGGACAGATGTGAGGCACACTGGTGTGAACGAACAGAAGACCTTCTCCCAAAGGCTGCCCAGACCTCCTGAGGAATAGACTGGCTGGTGAATCCAGAGCTTTTTTTCATGGTGATGAATTGAGCTGTGACATTTAACATCAGGGACTGCCGTAGACAACACAGAAAAAAGTCATTTCCCGGCAAAGGGCTGGCATTTCCGGTCCCTGCAGGAAGGTTATTCCCTGAGCCAGGAGTCGGCTGGCCGGTGCCGAGGCTCAGGCCTCCCCACCTGGGAGCTCAGTGCCCACATTGGGGTGGATTCAACCAGGCAGCCTGCGGGTGACCTTCAGAGCTTCCTGCCCTGCCCCCCAGGCACACATTCAGAGCCTTGGGGGCACAGCCATGCTTGCCAGGTGACACCTGGGGTCCCCAGCTCTCAGCTCCTGGCCCCACCCATTCCTGAAAAGGTGTGTCTACTCCTCTGGCCAGGGCCCACCCCATCATGGCACCGGGGACCTGGAACTCCCTGCTGCTGGCCACTCCTCCCAGCCCCCAGGGCCTCACGTGAAGGCTGTTTGTGAGGCCTGCCTCCGTTGGAATGGACTCTGCTCAGGGAGGCTGGTGGCCGGACCAGGAGGTTTGTATTTTTCCGATGCCTCCTCAATTGACCTTTAATTACACTGTTTGCCCAGCTCCCCAAACCATTAACTTCCACCTCACAGCAACCGCACGTCAATTAATGGAGGGCCTGCTCCAAGCTCGAGCTCCTGAACGCAATTAAGCGTGACAGTCCACAAATAAGAAAGAACTGGAGAATTAATTAAGGTCTAAACAAATTAATTACCAGTCCCCAATCGATTCTGATGCCAGCACACACCGTCTTTCCTAACATGTCTGCGTATAAATAGAAACTGAGATTTCCCACATGATTGCTGTTCTAGACCAGGGCACAGCAAGGCTCTGAAACTGCCGCAGGGAGAGGGGCTGCAGTGAGTATCCCACACACGACCTCGGCTGACAAACCGGGGGCAAACCTGGACGTGCTCCTGGTCGGGCACCGGGCAGCCCCAGCCTCCTCTGGACCACGTCCCGCACGTTCCAGCTCCAGAACTGAAGGGTTATTCCAGGGGCCTTGAAGTAGCCCTGGGCTCTACCTCTGAGGCCCAGGCTTTGGCCAGCTCAGGATAGCTTTCAGTGAGCCTGAATTGGTTTCTCCTTCTGTAAGAGGGGATGGCTCCCTCTGCCTTAGGGTCCCACCAAAGAGACAATAAAGGAGAGCTGAGGGGACGGAGGCCTGCTGGGGGACATGAGGAGAGCTGTGCAGCCTGTAACACTGGGCTCCGCAAACCCGGGGGAGGCCTGCGGTGATTAACCCAGAGGTCCCAGCAGAAAAGGGGTGAAACGGGGATGGTCCGAGGCCCGAGAGGGGCGGGAGTGGCAGAATCAGGTACAAGAACCAGGTGTGCTGTGCCAGGAGTCTGAGGCCTCTCTCTTTGGCCGCACATGGAACCCAGCGCAGGGAGGTGTCCTCCGGCCTCTCAGACCTCAGGCTGGAGCAGGAGCAGGGGGAGGAGCTGGGAAGAGCAGTGGAAAGAAGCAACTGACTCCAGGGAGCCTCCTGGTTTCCCAGAGCCTGAGTTGTCCAGCCTGCCCAGGAGGGGCCGAGTCAGGGTGTGGCTTCTAAGCACCTGCACACAGCCCTTCAGGACCCTCCCTGACCCCGCAGACCCCCTTTTGCTCAATCCTCCTGCACGCACATCCCAATAACTAGAGCTTAATTCGATCTCTTCCCGTGTGTACCCACGGCTCAGGGTGTCCCGTCTGCCTGTTGGGGTAGGGTTCCAGAGGGGCAAAGCACGCTCTGCAAGGTAAAGCATGTCCTGAGCAAGCTTCTCTGTTCTTAATGGTGGCCTGGCCCAGTCTGGCCCAGCCTGCTGTGGAAAGCCTGGTGAGACCAGCATATAATGGGGCTTCAAGATGCTCTGTCCTGGTCAGAGGCCCCTGGAGATAAGGTGGAGAAAAGCCAAGTGCAAGATGCTTGGCCTGAAAGGACCAAGGGACTTTTAAGCCCCTGGTGAGTGAGGAGCACGCCTGTTTATTTTGTACACCCTGTGAGCAATGACCGGGGAGCTGGCAAGTGCCCATATGCAGGTGAGCCTGTGAGGAACACTGGGGGCCAGAGGTATGGAAGCTTGAATGTGGGGGAGAAAGCAAAAGGCAGGTTGGGCAGTGGACCTGAGGAAGCAGCCAGAAAGGGCCTGATTCTCTCAGGATTCTGGCCAACCAGGGCTGTCAGGGCTGTAAACCACACTGAGTGCAACCCGTACAACTGGCTAGGGCGACATGGGAACTCAAGAGCCCTCCGTGGTGGCTGGACTTGTGGGAGGGGCCACGGGCTCCTCCTCAGTAAGAAGGCAGGAGAGGAATCAAGCTGGAGCCCAAAGACAGGTCAGAAAGTCTCAGGGGCGATGCAGAAAGAGTCAAACCCGAAAGCAGGGACCCTCCTGCTGAAGGAAGCTCACCAAGGTTAGGACCACCCCCAAGGTCACACAGCAAGACAGCCAGTAGAGCAGGGCTGGCATGGGCCCTGGTGAAGTCCTTGTCTGAAGCTTGGCTCAAGGACAGATTACATCTCAGCTGAGCCCAGATCCAGTCCAGAGCAGCCGAAAGCTGCCCCCTTCTCAGGCTGCACCTGAGCCTCCAGCCCAGGATGGCAAGGACCACAAGAATGGCAGCCGTGTTCACTTAATTAGGCCCCTTAACAAAGTCAGATCTAAAGAGTTATTCCATTAATGGCCCACAGCAGAAATAGCTGAGAGTTCATTAAAAGTGTGGAGTTGCTATAGCAATTATCTGGGTCGGCTCCCAGAGCAGGTTAGTCCTGGGAGTTCATTAGCCTCTGGACAATCGAGGGGGCGGAGCTGCCCAGGATTGATCTCTGGGGAGCTTTTCAGGTGCTTCAAAGCACTTTCCTATGAATGAAATCTGGTCTGTGGTCTCATTTGGTCCTCCTACAGCTCTGGGCTGTAGAAAGGTAGATACTGGTGCCCCATTTTACAGATGGGAAAGCTGAGCCCTGGAGGTGAAGAATAGGGTCCAAACCATGAACTTGGGTCTGACCGACTCCCAGCTCTTCAGACTGAGCCTTTGCACCAAGGAGGCCACGGGACCCCGTCCCCCACCTGGGCTGGCCTCCCTCTTTGTCCTCTGGCCTCAACTGAGGAGGTCAGTGTCCTGGTTCAAACACTGGCTTATACTCTTGATTTCTAAGCACAGACTGCCTTGTGTTTCTTTCAATGTTGTTTATTTCTTTTTAATTAAAAAAAAAAAACTTTCCATTCTGGTGCCCTCTTCCCGAACAAGGTGTGGGCTTCTTTCTATTTATTTATTTACTCTCACCTGTGGATATGTTTATTTATTTTAGAAAGAAAGAAAGGGAGAGAGAAAGAGAGAGAGACGTCAATGTGAGAAACATCGACTGGTTGCCTCCAGTACATGCGCCAAACAAGGATCAAACCCATAACCTAGGTACACGCCCTAATTAGGGATCAAACCCGCAATTTGGGGGGGTATTGGACAACACTCCAACCAACTGAACCACCCAGCCAGGGCAAGGCTGGGTTTTTTTGGGACCCCCAGGTCCAGAGCTGGGGCATCTGTTCGAGCTCAGAGACTCCGGGACCAGCAAGGACTTGGCTGAAGGCAGGCGAGATCCCCTCACACATACTCGTGCACCCACAATTACCTGAATGCCCACAGGGCCTCCAAAACCTAAAGGCCCACAGAACCAAAGGGCCTGGAACACTAGACTGGTGGGAACTGTGGACATTCTTTGTGTCGGAACCCCAGGGCAGTCCGGCAAGACCCATGCACCCCTCTCCAAATAATGTCCCTAAATGCATGAAACAAAACACATAGGATTGCAAGGAATTTTACTGAAATAAGTTATTAAAATGCTTTTTGAATTGTGATAAAGTAATAGGTTTGCTCTTTAACTAATGAATTAAAAAACAAGCTCTACCAGTGGATCTTTTCAGTATAATTTTGACTTAGTACTCATTTTAAACAATATTAATTTTTTTCTTTTATTGATTCTGGAAAGAGGGGAAGGAAGGGAGAGAAATGTCAATGTTGTGAGAGAAAGACTGACTGGTTGCCTCTTGCATGTGCCCCAACTGAGGACCAAACCTGCAACTCTGGCATGTGTGCCTTGACCAAGAATCAAACCAGCAACCTTTCAGTTTGAGGATGTTCCCAACCAAGGGATCCATGCTAAACAGAGCTTTTAATAACATTTTAGGATCTCTGCAACAACTCAGTGGGACACACAAAGGTCTGCAATTCCCACCGGCCGCAGCCACAGGGCCGGCTTGTTACCATGGTTTGCTGCCCATGTGTGTAATGGAAGGAGGTGTTACGTTCCAGTTATAGGTCAACATACATTTTTCCCCAACCGAATCCACAAGATCCAGCATTCTATCTACTGACACTTCAGGGCTCTGGGGTCCCAGTTAAAAATCCCTGTGTGGAATTTGGGGCACAGAGCTAGTTAGTGGGGTCCCTGTTGCCTTTTTTCTTTCTTCTTTTTATTTAAAAGATTTTATTTATTTATCTTTAGAGGGGAAGGGAAGGAGATAGGGAGAGAAATATCAATGTATGGTTGCCTCTCGTGTGTCCCCTGCTGGGCACTGGCCTGCAACCTAGGCATGTGCCCTGACTGGGAATTGAACCGCGATACTCTGTTTCGCAGGCCCGCACTCAATCCACTGAGCTACACCAGCCAGGGCTGCCTTTTTTTCTTTCTACATGTGTTTTGTGCCCGTTGTCCCCGCCAACCTATGACCTCCGCCCCCACATCAGGAGAGGGCAGAGGAGCTGTCCAGCTCCCCGAGAGCCCCACAGCCCCACACACCCATGCACGTGTGCACACACACACAGATGGCCACACTCTGCGGGTCTTACCTACAGCGGGGAAGGGCACAAATCTCTGGATGAGAAGGCGGGTGGCCGGGGTGAACTTGTTGGCTTTCTGAACCAGGACATTAAGGCCCACCTTGGAAAGAGAAAACAGAAAACTGCATGGTGCTACAGCCACCTGTGGGAGGAACGGACAGACAGGGCGGGGCGGGGAAAGGAAGAGCAGCGAGGCAGGGGCACCATTTTCCCCTGTGGTTGCACCCCAGGCCCTAGCCTGCAGAGCTCCAGCATGGCCATTTAATGCACCCCTACCCACTCCTTCCCGTTAACCAGCTCCTACGAAAGACAGAGAGAGACAAGGCGTAAGCTATGTGTGCGCAAACACACACGCAGCCTCTCTGGGAGGGGAAAGCAATGGCAGGGCAGTTGCTGTTGCATATAAACATAGTGTAGGACCCTCATTCCCACCCCAGTCTCTAAGCACCTCCTTTCGGAGGCTCCACTGTGACCCCAGGCCTGGGCCTGGCCAAACCACGAGGGCTCAGGAGAGTGAGATCCACACACCTGCCCACAGGTGCCTGCAGAGCTAAGGAGAACAGCTGAGCAGGACAGGGGCGAGGAGGCGGGTGTGGAGCCATCCTAGGCTCACTGATCCTGGGCACTCAGACCCCAGCTCCCCTTCCCTGGCCTTTGCCTTGGGCTCTCCCCACTGCAATTCATCCCCGTGCTGTCTCTACAACATGTTCACCCCCGCCAGCTCCTCCCTGTGATCCGTGGGAGAGGGTGCAATCTCCTGTGTGCAGCAGTCTGGGCCTCTGTCACCACAGTGCACTCCCCAAGCCCACGTTCTCCTTCTGTGAGCCAAGTTCACCACTTGTCAGATCCTGCACTAGCTTTCTGGTCTTGGCACCTTTTGCTTGTGCTGGTCCCTAAGGCAGGGAGGCCTCCCTTCCTCTACTCAGTCCTCACCTGTTCATGTAACATCCACCTATGAGCTCTGCCTCCAGTGTCACTTACTAACAGTGGACTCGTTTAATCTTCTAGTCAAGTCTTTTCATGTTTGCCTCAGTTTCTTTGTCCATAAAACGAACGGTGTCTACAGCACCCCAGGGCTGCTATAAGAGTGTGTATAAGCATTTAGACAACAGGCCTCAATAAATTAGGCTATAAAAGAATGATGTTGCCTCTTCCTGGTGGAAACTCCCTCCTCTGCGCATCACGAGCCCCTCCTTCCCCGCTCTCAGTACACCGCTCATGTGTGTGACTTGCCCCCAAGACAGAGTAGGGAGGAACCCATGTCTTCATCATCTGTGTATGCCCCGCACTTAGGGCAGTGGATGGAACATAGTACAGACTGACTAGACTGTGACTGAGGAACAAACACATGAGCCAACAAACAGATGAACGGATGGAGAGATCAGCAAAGGCTGGAAGTGGAGGGGGCGGGGCTTGTTGGAGGAGGGGAAGTGGGATGAGTTTAGGTGGAGGAAAAGGACCTTTGGGTGGAGAAAACAGCATAAGCACAGACACAGAGAGGGAAAAGCAAGACGCATGAGGCTAGACCAGAAGACAGGTTTGCAGAGGCCTCTGCTCCCCCAAATGAGACCAGAGCCGGCCCCTGCCCTGTAGATCATTCCTGGGCAGAGGGGGCCTGGTGCGGCCTGCTCTGGCCTGGCCCACCTGTTGGCTCAGCAGACCACTGCCTCCACAGCCCCAGCTCTGGCTGCAACCTTCCGTATTGTTGGGGAAGAGGTAGAGCCTTGGGAAGGCCTCCAGGGCTGCGGGGAGCCTGCAGCAGTCAAAGCAGGGAGCAGCAGAAATGACCCTGGGACCCAGGAAGATAGGAAGTGCCAGCCAGCCAGCCTTTGCATACCCCAGGGCCCCACAGGGCCATGGAGCTGCCAGGCAAAAACCCAGCCTGGGCTCTTGGGTGCCTGGCCTCCCTCTGGAGCCTTAAGCTAATGCTCAGAGTCCAATCCCTGTCCTTTCTGCATGTTCAAGGGAAAGCTGTGGGACAGGGCCATGCACCGCAGCGTGGGTGCATTTCAGTGGTGTTGCAGCAGCCTGCACTGGGCCCTGATACCTTGCTCCAGGGCTGCCCCTGCCACGCAAACAGATCTCAAGTGCAGGCCTCCCAGCTCTCAGCAGTGGTGACTGTCTATTTTGTGACTTAGAAGTGTTCCCCCCACTCCCTCCAAAACACCAGTGAACATGTTCCTACAGAGTGCGGAGAGTTAAAGTGTGGAGTGGCACAGGGAGATGCCAGGCCATGCACAGCTCCTGAAACAATTAAACCCCCAACACAAGGCTTTTACAATAGATAGGGTGTTACCCCTTCTTACAGATGCACAGACGTTCAGACAGGTTCAGAGAAGTTAAGTAACTTTGTCCAAGGACAGACAGCTATTATGAGGCAGGTAAAGCTAGGACTGAACCCAAGTACTGCAAGCTTTGTTCTGAACCACTGTGCTATTTACTTTCCAATTGTCTTTCACCTCAAAGACGAGTGCTTTAATGTCTGACATGCCATTTAAAACTCACTGTTAGCATAGCAAAACCTCCCTGAAAAGACCAGCCTGGGGCTGGGGCCCAGGGAGAGGAAAGGGGAAGGCAGCTCCAGTTAGGAAGATAGAGCCCTTGGACGTAGAAATCAGAAGGTCTGGGTTCGAACCCCACGCCTCACACTCATTTGGAAAGATGCAGAGTGTGGAGGAGTGGGAGCAGGAGCCCTCCAAGGAGCCAGCAGGGAGCTCAGCACCTTCCCCTGGCAGTCTCTTGAAGGCAGGCAGGGCTGGAGTGTGGCCACAGTGCAAGGAAGATAGAGGTTTCCGGTTGTAGTGATCACTCAGACTTGCCCCTACCCTCCAGCCTTCCCTTCCCTGGCTAGCATGGCACAGAGTGACTAACCCAGCCCATCTCCCACACCCCACATGGGAGAGCCCAGGGTAGGGAGGAGGAAAGGAGAGAAAAGAGATAAAACCTGGGGTCCCAGGTCTCTTCCAGCCTCCCCTTCTCCAAAGCCCACAGGAGTCTCCCCAGCGCAGCCGGGGTGAGACTTATTTACTAAGGCGCACACACGTTTCTGAGTACCTGGCCAACACGCCCGAGCCCAGGGAAGGGTCAGGGACCAGCAAAGTAGGGAGAAGGCCTGGGCTCCTGGGTGACCCACCCACCGCTAATGGGCAGCGGCAGAAAGGCATGAATGCAGGGAAGGCGCGTGGCTGCTCACCCCCTCTCCCCCCAGACCCCCCATCCCAGGCCCTACTGTCCCGGGAAAGAACCAGGGTGGGCTGCAGACCAGGGGCTGGGAGCCCGTCTGTTCTGGTTCCTCGGGGGCCCTTTGGCCTGGAACATTTGGTGGAGCCCATTAAAATTAAAAAGCCAAGTGGCTGGTGGCTCTGAATGCCAGCTCATTTTCCCTGGCATGGTGGGTCCTGTTTAAGGGAACCAGCTGGCATTAATGGCACACAACTCATCACGAACAGCAGCTAGCGATCAGAAAAATCTGAGCTAATAATCAGGTTTGGGAAAGATAATGAGATATGGAACAATCACTGCTGAGGGTCCCCTAGGGTCTGTTTTAACAGCCTCCAAATAAGCCACAAAATAAAAATTAACCAAACAGGGGCTCCATTTGAGTGGAGGGGAAAACAAACAGGGTGTGGATTTTGCAAAAGAATTCCCATGTGGTCAGCAGATGGGGGTCCTGGGAGAAGCCAGAGCCCAGGACATCAGCAAAGGCCTAAGGACCGTCTCTGGCCACTTCTCTCCAAGCTCCGGCTCCCAGGCTGGTGAATTTCCCAGGGGCAGCTGACAGCAGCAGAGGAAGAGGAGGGAAGACTGGTTTCCTGACGATCCCCCACAGTGGGGATAAGTGTTGACTAGCACCAAGAATGGGGCAGGTAGGGTGGGGACACCATGACACAAGACCTTCACTGCCATGAGCCATGTGGCCGATAGCTGTCTCCTTAAGTATCAAGGTCTTGCCCAGGCCAACAGCAGCCTAATTTCCACCAGGCCAGAAAAGAGACGCCAGGCAGGGCTTGAGCAGTGCAGGCAGCCCTCTCTGACCTGGGCTGTATCCTCTCCCCAGCCCAAACATCCAAGGCCCTGCAGATGCCTCTGTTTCAAGGGGCTTCAGGTACCCCATCTTCCTACAACCCAAATGAAGGCTACCTTGCTCCTCCTCACCCACACCTGGTTCCTCCCACATTCCTGGCTCACTCCTCATGCTGGAGACCCAGAAGTCTTCCCTGAGGAGGCCTCTCCAACCCCACGCCCAACCCATCCTGCAGAACTACCTGAGCCATTTCCTGAACACCTTGCATGTGGCTTCTCTCTCTGCTGCCACCACTTAGCTTAAGCCCCAGTCTCTTCTCCCTGAAAGCTCAGCTCCCTGCTTTTTACCCTTGCTCCCCGCTACAATCCACTCTACATAGGAGCCAGAGTGATCTCCTAACAATGGAGGTGAACTTGCTTTAGCCCTTCAGTGGCTTCTCGCTGCACTTACAGACCTGCACAGCCTGTGGCCGCCTGGCCTCCCTTGCAAGGCCCAAGGCACTGCACCATCACCCCTGCCCCCCAGATGATCCAACTCTCTGGCTTTCTCCCCCTCCCTCCCTGCCCCGCCCTATCTCTCCTCAGGGCTTCCAAGCACTGCCCCTCCCTTGGCCCCCTTACTTTTTGGCTTGAAGGCCTGGCAGGCCCTCCGAGAAGCCCCTCTTCACTCAGGCTTCGCTTTCATAGCCTCTCACAGAACCTGGGCCTCTTCCTTCTCTGTACCTATCTTGGCCTCTAAGTATATATTTATTTACCTTCTTAAAATGTTGTAAATCAAAGTAATACATGTATATAGTTTTAAACTGTGGACTCGTTACCAAACGTCCATGTCTCCCAACAGGCCCCAGCCCTGCCTCGCAGCCTCTGCCACCCAATCCTCACTGAATTCCTGGTGTCCGGTGAAATGAGCAGGCGCCGCATGAGTGTTCCCAGGGGAAATCAAGGGGCTGATTTCTGAAACAGGAGAGAAAAAACGAAGAGCCACGGGAGCCTGGCCTTGTGCAGTCACTGAGGCCCACCACGGCCAGAGCTCTGCCAGAACTAGGTGCTGCACACTCGGTCTATGTCCCCCTGAGG